AAGGTTATACATACAATCATCAGAGACCATTTATTAATAAAATAATAGAACGAATAAATTTATCTTAAAAAATCAATGCCTAATCTTTTATCAATGAACACAAAAATTATGATATATGCATGATCAAGTTATAAACGTGCAATACAATTAGTTATGATACATGTCAATCTTTGATCAATTCATCTTCACATTTTAAGAGTTATTAAACTATATTTATTGATAATATCTCATTTGAATCTTCCTTCTGATATTCATTAAACAACTGATATAATGAGACTAAATAAATTTTCTTTCATATTTATGACTAAATGCTATTGCAGTGCGAATGGTTAAAGTTTAAGCGAATAGTCAATAGGTAACGAATTCAAATTTGTAACGATCCGAAAAAATAATAATTTAATAATAGGTACTTAAGGTGAATTAATTATTAATTAAAAATCTGAAATTTTAAGGGCATAATATTCCTTTCGCGTATAAATTAAAATAAACCAGATTTTGTATAAATCTAATGTAAATTATATTTAAGTCTTGAATTAGTCTTCTAATCCTAATAGTTCTCTCTCTCTCTCACGCTTCGTAACTCTCTCTCTCACGTTCTCCATCTTTCTCACGTTATTCTGCTAAATATCAACAGTTCTTCACGCTTGAAGAACTCACCTGAAATTTTTAGAAGAAAAAAAAAACAAAGCAACCAAAAATATTAAGGCGAAGAGAAGTTGTTCGTTGAGTGTTGTGGACGTTGAGGTAACTTGGACTAATTTTTGGAGAGAGTTTTGGGCAGCAAATTCTTCGTTTGAACATCAATAAAGGTATGGGTTTCATCTCTCTTGGATCCTTTCCCAAGAGGCCCCTTACGATTCAAACTATTCATCTCGAAACTAAGGTTGTTCCCTGTTGCATGCCCCTGTCACTTGCTCCCTATGATCTTAGGTTGGGTATTCTTGTTGGTAGATATTAGGGATACTTGTTTGTGGTGATGATCTCGTTTCGAGTATGTGTTTATGACTATGTGTTTATATTTTGTGTCTGTTGTGAATATGTATGTAAATAAATACGTATATATTTGTGCAATATTGTGATCATGCTTTTGAGTTTTTCTTTAGCATGTTAATAGCATAGAGGTTATTCGTGTTTTGTGTGCAATTAGAGGCTCTTAAAATCGTAATATTCACATGGTTAAGCCTATAAATTCTAGTTAAAACAAATGATCAAATCATCCCTCTAAACTTGTCTTAAGAACTTTAACGAATGTCTAAGAAATAAATGCTAAATTAACCCATAAAAATGATGTACAAAATTGTGGAATAATGTCCCATACTCTGGAAATAAGTTTTAGATGCATTCTGGAAACTTTGAACAAAAAAATAGGCGAGGTATGCAGGGATCGAACCCAAGACCTCACCAAAACATGCCTTAATAAAATAAATAAAGAGGAGTGTTGAAGGCGGGGCTCGAACCGGGGATAGGGGGCTGGTGAAATTCACAAAGAAAAAAAATGAGGCGGGGGAGTCGAACTCGCAACCTAGGGGGAGGTGGAGGAGAAAAATCAAGTAAATAAATAAATGGGAGGCGTGGAATTCGAATCCACGACATCCCAGAACGCGCGAGGAAGGAAAAAAAATTAAATTTTGCGAGGCGTGGCGATCGAACCCACGACCTCAGCACTGAAGGGGGGGGGGGTCCGAAATATTAAGGAAATAAAGTGAAGCTGTGGGGATTCGATCCCACAACGTCACTGCCACTCACCCTTATTATATAAAGATAAGGATGGAGGGGATGTGGGGGTTCGAACCCACAACCTGCCCATTATAGTGGATTTAATTAAATTAAAAGTTTAAGAGGTTGTGGGGGCTCAAACCCCCAACCCTCCGGTTAATTAATAGTAAAATTTAAATAGAAAATTAATTCTTTTATGTAAATATTGAGATTTAATTTACAATTCTAATTATAACAGAAAATTAATTTCTTTCATGTAAATGTTGAGATTTAATTTAGAATTCTAATTGAAATAGAAAATTTATCCCTTCATGTAAATGTTGAGATTTAATTTAGAATCCTAATTAAAATAAAAAATTAATTATTTTATGAAAATGTCGAGATTTTATTTAAAGTTCTAACGTTATAAATATTAGAAATAAAATCAACGAAAAATACAAATGATATCCAAGTGATTTAAAATTTGGGTTCCCGTGCCCAAACCTCCATATTGATACATAAGTCATACTTGAGTAAAATATTCAAGAATAATGTCATCAACTTAGATCAACAATCAAGATCTTGGCATATATGCAAGATACATAAGTCTTGCAATACATAATCTTATGAAAGTAAGAATCACTTAGCGAACTATGAATGAAGCCCCATGGCTTGTATGTATAGACACGTAAGTCTAACATACGTTAAAAGATTAAGTGAACCTAAGATGTACGTAATGAAATAATGAATCTTAGGATAATTAAGTACGAATGTAAGATACGCTAAATAGCCAAGTGCATTTGCATGTGATGAGATAAACTATGAAATGAAGAAAAGAACATTCACGTAATAAGAGATGAGTAAATATGAAAAACAAAGGTGCTAATAATGTAGAATGTGGTGACAATCATGATGTGAGGCTAATGTATATAATGAGAGCAATCTCAAATGAGCCTAAGTAAATGTTACCAATACGTACTCACCAACGAGAGTATAAAATAATGAAGAGATCAGTCTCTATATACACCCTAATAATATGGAGTTTAAAACACTTAATACTAATGATGAGATGAGAAATCATCTATTGAGCTATGATGTTCTCATACTAAAAGCCAACTTCCATGATGTATGAGTTGAATGTAATGGAACTTTATACCGAGAACCGATAGGCTAGCTATGAGCGGTGATGCCTTCTTTCGGGAAGGGCGGAGGTTCACGTAACACTCATGAGATGAGACTGTCCGGCTTGCCGGGTATGGGTCTCCATACATCTCCTAGTCTTTGAACCTGTATTGCCACTATAGGGATCTGGCGGGGTTTAATTCCCATATACGCTAGCATGTATTGAATCGCTTTGGCCGGTGATTCCACCTCTTTTCGGTGTGAGGGAGACAGTGGATTTCATGATGCTCACATGATCTATGTCGGTTAAAGTGAAAGTTCCCAATGAATGAATGAGGCTAGCCTCAAATGAATCATATAAAGAAATGAACGATACCGAAGGTTTTAGGATAAAATAATAAGAGGTGAGCTAGATTCAGGTAATGACATTAGGTTATTCCTGATCATTGCACAGTTAACCTGATGAAAATCTTAAACTACATCCTAGGTATAGCTGGTGTTCGCACTGGCCTATGTATGAATTGAAATGAAATACGTATGAAGGAATGAAGCAGACTCTATGTTTGCTAAAGAAGGCTCCCTAGTTGAGGTCCCATATGTTGAGTCTCATTTTGGAAAGTCTTAAGGTTAAGTCTATGATAATAAGGTCTCATGGTATATGAATAAATAATATGAAAGAAACTATGTGTTATATGTTATGTGCTATATGAAGATGTTATGTGCTGTGTGCCATACGATGATTGTAATGATGCATGTCATGCTCATGGCATAACTTTCTCAATCTCAATTTAGCAAGTCCACTAACTTAACTTCCAAACATCATGTTGTTAGGAAAGAGCTCTTTTTACTCATGCATGTCCCTGGTGTGTGCTTGCATATACCCATACATAGTACAAGTGTGTACTAATTCCATACAAACGTCTACTTTTAGGTGCAGACACAGGTGGACGGTAGAGCTACAGGTTCATTGTTGCAGCTATCCGGACGTCAGCATTCATCCGAAGTTTAGTAGGTCCTCATGCTTTCGAGGATGCTACTGTTTTACATTCTAGCGTAGTTTTAGAGTTTGAGCTAGTGGAGCATGTTCCACTAGTGTTTCATTCCTATTTTGGTTCAAACTTTGTATTTATGTTATTTTGACCGATATACAATTAATACTTAATGAATTATTTCTTTTAGTTGCTTATCTCTTAATTTTTAGATGGTTGATGATGAACGATTACGAAAATATACAGAATGTTTAACAAGTATGATTAAAGAATAGAAAATTTCAAATTTTCTGCTAAAAATTAACCTATGTAAAGTAAGAATGACGTAAGTAGGCTTGTTTGCGACCTTTGAGAGGTCAACGACGCCAGTCTCATCTGGGGTCTAGATTCCAGTCGTGACAAAGTTGGTATCAGAGCGCTAGGTTAAATTCCTAAAATAATGAGTTTACATCAACCACATTGAGTAGTTTCTAAGTCATGGTAGTGAAGTGCATTACTATCCTGGATTAGAGACTGCATGATGCGTATGAAAAATTTTCGTTCTTCTGATCTTATCGTGCTTTTCCTAGTGTTTGAATTCTTGGTGTTATGAACGTGTCTAACATCAATACTTGTTGTTTTCATAGAATGAACACTTGGAGAACTAAGGGTCTGAGGACAGGAGCAGCAACAGCTAGGTGTAATAAAAATCCACCCCAGGCTCCAGCTGAAGGAGTGGCCATGCCAGTTAACCCATCTAGGTTGACTGATGCTGAAGTGAGGGCATCTCTAGCCTTGATGGCACAGGCCATCATGATGTAGGCTCAGGCTATGACTGCCCAAGTCAACCGGCAGAATGTTCAGAGGGAAAACCCACCGGTTCGCAGCATGGCTGATAGACTGTGAGATTTCACGAGGATGAATCCTCCTATATTTACAGGGGCTTAGACTTCAGAGGATCCTCATGAATTTATAGACGAGTTGCATAAGATCTTGGTGGCCATGGGGACCACAGATATTGAGAAGGCTGAGCTGGCTTCCTACCAACTCAAGGATGTTGCACAGACTTGGTGAAAAATGTGGCAAGATAGTCGTGTCCTAGGCGGAGTGCCAGTCACATGGGAGCTGTTCAAAACAACATTTTTGGAAAGGTTCTTCCCTAGAGAGATGAAGGAGGCCAAGGTTGAGGAGTTCATCAACCTTAAACAAGGATCTATGACGGTCAGGGAGTATTCTCTGAAGTTTGTGAAACTATCAAGGTATGCCAATTCTCTTGTGTCTAATAGCAGAGACGAGATGAGTAGATTCTTGGCAGGAATTACTGAGGATCTCGAAGAGGAGTGGAGGGCAGCTATGCTGCATGTGAACCTCTCCATACTTATGGTCCATGTCCAGCATGTGGAGGAAAGCAGAAAGAGGAGACACACTAGAGTAGGGAACAAGTCAAGGCAAGATGAAGAGAATTTTTCAAGGAAGAGTAGTATTGAGATCAGGGATAAGCCTAGGTTTAAGAAGGGACTCTGCCACCAAGGGGAGTCAAGTTCATCTAAGGGTCGCCATGATAGGAATTCTGAGTCCAGATTTAAGAGAAACAATGAAGTAGATACACCTCAAAAGAGACCACCTTGTAGGAAGTGTGACAAACTACATGGAGGAGAGTGTATGATGGGCACTAACGCTTGTTACAGTTGTGGCAAACCAGGTCACATGGTGAAGGACTGTCCGATTAGGAGAAGTAAAAAACAAGGGAAGGAGAGAGTTCAGTCTAATGGTCCAAGTGAAGAGGCTCCAAGGAGGCAACAATTCTTCGCACTCCAGTCTAGGGGGGCAAATGAAGACACTTCTGGTGAAGTCACAGGTGAGTAGCTTTAATTAGTCCTTCATGTATTTGACTGTGTGTGGTGTGTATGCACTAGTATGAGATTAGATTTCCTACTCGTAAGTCTATAAATCCTTATCTCTTCGTATTTGTTGCTATTGGTTAATTGTGCATAATGATTGAGTTATGATCGGATTGGCAATAAGATGTGTAATGGTAGTGTCATTCGGGGACGAATGTTCCCAAAGAGGGGGGATAATGTAACGATCCAAAAAAAAAATATAAATTTAATAATAGGTACTTAAGGTGAGTTAGTTATTAATTAAAAATCTGGAATTTTAAGGGCATAATGATCCTTTCGCATATAAAGTAAAATAAACCAGATTTTGTATTAATTTAATGTAAATTTTATTTGACTAAGTCTTGAATTAGTCTTCTAATCCTAGTAGTTCTCTCTCTCTCATGCTTCTTAACTCTCTCTCTCTCATGCTTCTTAACTCTCTCTCTCTCTCACGTTCTCCATCTTTCTCACGTTATTTTGCCAAATATCAACAGTTCTTCACGCTTGAAGAACTCACCTGAAATTTTAAGAAGAAAAAAAACAAAGCAACCAAATATATTAAGGCGAAGAGAAGTTGTTCGTTGAGTGGTGTGGATGTTGAGGTAACTTGGACTAATTTTTGGCGAGAGTTTTGGGCAGCAAATTTTTTGTTTGAACATCAATAAAGATATGGGTTGCCTCTCTTAGCTCCTTTCCCAAAAGGCCCCTTACGATTCAAACTATTCATCGAGATAGTAAGGTTGTTCCCCGTTCATGCCCCTTTCATTAGCTCCCTATGATCTTAGGTTGGGTATTCTTGTTGGTAGAATTTAGGGATACTTGTTTGTGGTGATGATCTCGTTTCGACTATGTGTTTATATTTTGTGCCTGTTGGGAATATGTATGTAAATACGTATGTATTTGTGCAAGATTGTGATCATGATTTTGAATTTTTCTTTAGCATGTTAATAGCATAGAGGTTATTCGTGTTTTGTGTTCAATTAGAGGCTCTTAAAATCGTAACATTCACATGGTTGAAAGGCTATAAATTCTAGTTAAAACAAATAATCAAATCATCCCTCTAAACTTGTCTTAAGAACTTTAACGAATGTATAAGAAACAAATGCTAAATTAACCCATAAAAATGATGTACAAAATTATGGAGTAATGTCCCAGACTCTGGAAATAAGTTGTAGATGCATTCTGGAAACTTTGAACAAAAAAAAACAATAAAAAAATAGGTGAGGTCTGCAGGGATAGAACCCAAGACCTCACCAAAACATGACTTAATAAAATAAATAAAGAGGAGTGTTGAAGGCGGGGCTCGAACCGAGGACAGGGGGCTGGTGAAATTCGCAAAGGAAAAAAATGGGGCAGGGGGGAGTCGAACTCGCAACCAAGGGGGAGGAGGAGGAGAAAAATCAAGTAAATAAATAAATGGGAGGCGTGGGGTTAGAACCCACGACCTCCCAGAACGCGCGAGGAAGGAAAAAAAATTAAATTTTGCGAGGCGTGGGGATCGAACCCACGACCTCAGCGCTGAAGGGGGGGGGTCCGAAATATTAAGGAAATAAAGTGAGACTGTGGGGATTCGATCACACAACGTCAATGCCACTCACCCTTATTATATAAAAATAAAGATGGAGGGGCTGTGGGGGTTCGAACCCACAACCTGCCCATTATAGTGAATTTAATTAAATTAAAAAGTTAAGAGGTTGTGAGGGGCTCGAACCCCCAACCCTTTGGTTAATTAATAGTAAAATTAAAATAGAAAATTGATTCTTATATGTAAATATTGAGATCTAATTTAGAATTCTAATTAAAATAGAAAATTTATTTCTTTCATGTAAATGTTGAGATTTAATTTAGAATTCTAATTAAAATAGAAAATTTATCCCTTCATGTAAATATTGAGATTTAATTTAGAATCCCAATTAAAATAGAAAATTAATTATTTTATGAAAATGTCAATATTTAATTTAAAGTTCTAACGTTATGAATATTAGAAATAAAATCAACGAAAAATACAAATGATATCCAAGTGATTCAAAATTTGGGTTCCCGTGCCCAAACCTCCGTATTGATACATAATTCATACGTGAGTAAAATATTCAAAAATAATGCCATCTACTTAGATCAACAATCAAGATCTTGGCATATATGCAAGATACATAAGTCTTGCAATACATAATCTTATGAAAGTAAGAATCACTTAGCGAACTATGAATGAAGCCCCATGACTTGTATGTATAGACAGTAAGTCTAACAAACGTTAAAAAATTAAGTGAACCTAAGATGTACGTAATGAAATGATGAATCTTAGGATGGTTAAGTATGAATGTAAGATACGCTAAATAGCCAAGTGCATTGGCATGTGATGAGATAAACTATGAAATGAAGAAACGAACATTCACGTAATAAGAGGTTAGTGAATATGAAAAACAAAGGTGCTAATAATGAAGAATGTGGTGACAATCATAATGTGAGGCTATTGTATATGATGAGAGCAATCTCAAATGAGCCTAAGTAAATGTTACAAATACGTACTCACCAACGAGAGTGTAAAATAATGAAGAGATCAATCTCTATGAACACACTAATAATATTGAGTTTAAAACACTTAATACTAATGATGAGATGAGAAATCATCTATTGAACTATGATGTCCTCATACTAGAAGCCAACTTCCATAATGTATGAGTTGAATGTAATGGAACTTTATACCGAGAACCGATTGGCTAGCTATAAGCGGTGATGCCTTCTTTCGGGAAGGGCGGAGGTTCACGTAACTCTCATGAGATGAGACTATCCGGCTTGCCGCGTATGGGTCTCCATACATCTCCTAGTCTTTGAACCTATATTGCCACTATAGGGATCTGGCGGGGTTAAATTCCCATATATGCTAGCATGTTATTGAATCGCTTTGGCCGGTGATTCCACCTCTTTTCGGTGTGGGGGAGGCAGTGGATTTCATGATGCTCACATGATCTATATCGGTTAAAGTTAGAGTTCCCAATGAATGAATAAGGCCATCCTCAAATGAATCATATAATAAAATGAACGATACCGAAGGTGTTAGGATAGGATAATCAAGAGGTGAGCTAGATTCAGGTAATGACATTAAGTTATTCCTGATCATTGCACAGCAAACCTGATGAAAGTCTTAAACTACATCCTAGGTATAGATGGTGTTCGCACTGGCCTATGAATGAATTGAAATGAAATACGTATGAAGGAATGAAGCAGACTCTATGTTTGCTAAAGAAGGCTCCCTAGTTGAGGTCCCATATGTTGAGCCTCATTTTGGAAAGTCTTAAGGTTAAGTCGATGATAATAAGGTCTCATGGTATATGAATGAATAATATGAAAGAAACTATGTGTTATATGTTATGTGCTATATGAAGATGTTATGTGTTGTGTGCCATACAATGATTATAATGATGCATGTCACGCTCATGGCATAACTTTCCCAATCTCAATTTAGCAAGTCCACTGACTTGACTTCCAAACATCATGTTGTTGGGAAAGAGCTCTTCTTCCTCATGCATGTCCCTGGTGTGTGCTTGCATATATCCATACTTAGTACAAGTGTGTACTAATTCCATATAAACATCTACATTTAGGTGCAGGCACAGGTGGACGGTAGAGCTACATGTTCGTTGTTGCAGCTATCCAGACGTCAGCATTCATACGGAGTTTGGTAGGTCCTCATGCTTTCGAGGATGCTACTGTTTTACATTCTAGCGTAGTTTTAGAGTTGAGCTAGTGGAGCATGTTCCACTGGCATTTCTTTCCTATTTTGATTTAGACTTTGTATTGGTGTTATTTTGACCGATATACAATTAATACTTAATGAATTATTTCTTTCAGTTGCTTATCTCTTAATTGTTAGATTGTTGATGATAAACGATTACGAAATATAAAGAATGTTTAACAAGTATGATTAAAGAATCAAAAATTTCAAATTTTCTGCTAAAAATTAACCTATGTAAAGTAAGAATGACGTAAGTACTCTTGTTTGCGACCTCTGAGAGGTCAATGACGCCGGTCTCGTCTGGGGACTAGACTTCAGTCGTGACAGAATCTAGATTAGGTCCCAATTTTAAGTATATTTTTTTTTAAAAAATAGTCTTTTTGAAGCTTTTATGATTTAAATAATTTTTAATTTCTTTCCTTTTTTTGGCAAATAAGATTGTAAAAGTATATATTTGGATCCTTTTCACAAAAATTGAAGATTGTTTATTATTATAAGTCGAATGATTGTGATGAAAATAAATGTAAAGTATATAGTATTACATGAGTTATGTTCCCGCACAAATGTTTACAATTAGACTCTTTAAAGCTTTTAAGATTTAAATAATTTCTAATTTCTTGTTCTTTTTGGTAAATAATATTGTAAATGTATATATTTGGATCCTTTTCACAAAAATTGAAGATTTTTCATTATTATAAGTCGAATAACTATGATGAAAATAAATGTAAATAATATAGTATTATATGGTTATGTTCCCTCACAAATTTTTAAAATTTGACTCTTTGATACTTTTAAGATTTAACTAATTTTTAGTTTCTTGTGTTTTTTGGTAAATAAGACGGTAAAAATATATAGTTGGGTCATTTTCACAAAAATTGAAGATTTTTCATTATTATAAGGCGAATCATTATGATGAAAATAAATGTAAAAGATATTATATTCTATGAGTTATATGTATGATCAAGTTATAATTGTGTAATATAATTAGTTATGTTACATGTCAACCTTTGATCAATTCATGTTCACATTTTAGGGGTTATTAGACTATATTTATTGATAATATCTCATTTTAAATTCTCTAGTGATATTCAGTAAACAACTGATATAAATAAATTAAATAAATATTCTTTCATATTTATGATCAAATGCTATGAGCCAATGGTTAAAGATTAAATGAATAGTTTATAGGTTACAAGTTCGAACCTAGGTTAGGTCCCAATTTTAGGTATTTTTGTATAAAAAATAGACTCTTTGAAGCTTTTAGGATTCAAATGATTTTTAATCTAGGATGAACATCAAAAATCCTTTTCAAACGGCCAAGAGCATCCGTGGGAAGGTCACTTTCACTAAAGTAGGTTTTGTAACTCTGAAG